CTGTTCCTGCTTCTCCCAAGCACCCGTGACCCTGGGAAGCCCATCACAAACACCTCCCTGGACCCATGCTGTAGAGTGCACCACTCCGTTCCCACCACAGCCTCAGGCAGCACTGGCACCCACAGCAGGGGCCACCCTCACAATCTCACATCGCAGGAGCCCAGGTGTGATGCTAGCCAGGCTCCCCAGAGGAGGCTTTGCCGGCCCAGGCAGCTGCATCTCTCCAGGACCCCACTGCTCCCCGGGTCCAGCCCAGGCCCTGATTCAGCAGCGACTCCATAAAGAAGTAAAATGAGAATATGCACGAGGCCCACACTTAGGGGACTCCTGTCCCATGGTGTCCAGCATGGCTCACAGGTGAGGACAGCAAAACCACCAAGAAATGACCCGAGAGGCCAACAGCAGCTCCCTGGGAAGACCACACTCTCCAGGAGGACATAGCAACTCTGAAATACACAACTTAGGTAGAAATCTAACAAGGTATGTACAAGATCTATGAGGAAAATTATAAAACTTTAATAAGTCAAAGAAGTAAAATGGAAAGATACTCCACACCCCTTATTATGCATACCCCCTTTTATCCCTGATAAGCTTCTTTGCTCTGAAGTCTGCTCTGAAATTAATATAGCTATTCCAGCTTTCTTGTGATTAATGTGGTATGGTATTTCTTCCTCTGTTCATTTACCTTTAATCTACATGTGTCTTTTTATTTATTTATTTAGAGACAGAGTCTTGCTCTGCCACCCATCTCTACAGTGATGAGATCTTGGCTCACTGCAGCCTTCACCTCCTGAGTTCAAGCAATTCTCCTGCCTCAGCCTCCTGAGTAGCTGGTACTACAGGCACACGCCACCACACTCTGCTAATTTTTGTATTTTTGGTAGAGATGGGGTTTTGCCATGTTGGCCAGGCTGGTCTCGAACTCCTGACCTCAAGTGATCTGCCCACCTCTGCCTCCCGAAGTGCTGGGGTTACAGGCGTGAGCCACTGTGCCCAACCACTGTTTTTATTTTTAAAGTGGGTTTTGTGTAGATAACATATAGTTAGGTCTTATTTTTTGATCCATTCTGACAATCTCTATCTTTTAATTGGTGCATTTATACCACTGACATTCAAAGTCACTATTGATATAGTTGGATTAATATCTACCGTATTTGTTCCTATTTTCTATTTTTTGTTTTTTTTTTTATTTTTTCTGCCTTTTGTGGTTTTAATTGACCATTTTATGATTTTGTTTTCTATTCTTTCTTAGACATACTTTTTCACGTTTTCAGTGGTGACCCTAGATTTTGTGATACACATTTCCAACTATTTCAAGCCCACTTTCAAATAACACTGAACTGCTTGCTAATGGGTAGCACAAGTATCTTTTTGTTTTGTTGTTTTTTGAGACAGGGTCTTGCTCAGTCGCCCAGGCTGGAGTGCAGTGGTGTGATCTTGGCTCACTGCAAGCTCCGCCTCCCAGGTTCAAGCCATTCTCCTGCTTCAGCCTCCCGAGTAGCTGGGACTACAGGCGCCTGCCACCTCGCCCGGCTAATTTTTGTATTTTTAGTAGAGATGGGGTTTCACCCTGTTAGCCAGGATGGTCTCAATCTTCTGACCTTGTGATCCGCCCGCCTCAGCCTCTCAAAGTGCTACAGGCACGAGCCACCGCGCCAGCCCAAATGTATTCTTATTCTATAGCTTAGGTGTTCCTCCCCTCCCCGCCCCAACCCTCTGCTGGCTTCTTTCAAGATTGTTTCTTCAACTTTCTGCAGTTGGAATACCAAATGCCTAGGTGTGGATTGGGCATGATATCACTTTTAACCTGCTCTAAAACACAAGGAGGACTTGATGCCGGAACAGGCACCCAGCAGGGCAGACGGTTCCAGGACTCACCCTGGCTGCTGTGAGCGTTTCCCTGCAGGAATGCGGTGTGGCTGCGGAAATCCTTCCAGGCTGCTGCTGGGTCTGGAAGTGCCCCCCACCCCTGTGTCTGTGTTGTTTTCCTGGGGCCTCCAGCCATGGTGAGAAAGGCGTGGGTGGGGGCTGAGGGAGGGGCTGGCTGGCTTCGGACTGTGCTGCCGTGTAGATGGGTGCCTGGCAGCCTCCTTGGGCACAGCCGTGGAGGAGACGGTGCCGTGGAGGAGACGGTGCCGTCTCCGTCAGCCTCAGTCACCCCGACGCTGAGGCCCAGAGGCTGCCCTAGAGGGGAGGAGCTGGAACCTAGGAAGTCGGTCAGGTGTGCACCACGGGGTCATTGGCCGGCACCAACCACCAAGTGGCTTCAGGGGCGGGGGCAGCCTGGGTAGACCAGGCCAGGAGACCAGCCCAAACCAAACGGCTGACTCACAGGATTGTGAGCAAATACAGTGGTGGTTGTTTCAAGCCACTAACAAAATGTCTCCATTTCACTCAGCGTCATGTCCTCGGGGACCGTCCATGTTGTAGCATGTGTCAGAATTCCCTTCTTGTGGCTGAAAAATATTCCACTGTGTGTGTGGGCCACGTTTTGTGTGTTCCTTCCTCTGGCGATGGACACCGGGGCTGGTTCCATGTTGTAGCCGGTGTGAATAATGCTGCCGTGAACGTGGGTGCCAGGTGTCTCTCCGAGACTCACTTTCGGTTCTTCTGGGTACCCGCCTGGAAGTGGAATTGCCGCGTCATGCGGTCGTTCTGACTTGAGGAACTGCCTTCCTGTCCTCCCGCAGCTGCACCATCTTCCATCCCAGCAGCGCTACACAAGGGTTCCAGTTTCCCCACATCCTTGCCAACACTTTTTCTTGTGGCTGCATCATAATGGATGTGAGGTGGTTGTGGGGATTTCTTGCTGGGCCTTCCCAGGGAGCTGCTGTTGGCCTCTTGGGTCATTTCTTGGTGGTTTTGCTGTCCTCACCCACGAGCCATGCTGGACACCACATGACAGGAGTCCCCTAAGTGTGGGCCCTGTGCATATTCTCATTTTACTACTTCATGGAGCAGCTGCTGAATGCAGGGCCTGGGCTGGACCCGGGGAGCAGTGGGGTCCTGGAGAGATGGGGCTGCCTGGGCCAGCACAGCCGCCTCTGGGGAGCCTGGCTAGCGTCACACCCGGGCTCCTGCGGTGTGAGATTGTGAGGGCGGCCCCTGCTGTGGGTGCCAGTGCTGCCTGAGGCTGTGGTGGGAACGGGGCGGTGCCCTCTGTAGTGTGGGTTGTCCAGGGAGGTGATTGTGACGGGCTTCCCAGGGTCACGGGTGCTTGGGAGAAGCAGGAACAGAGCAGGGTCATCCCGGGTGGACCCAGACGACCAGGACTAGGTGCCTGGCCTTGAAAGGACAGACATCCCAGAGCGGGCAGACCCTGCTCTCCCGGAGCTCAGAGCTACCAGGACTCCAGCCAGTCCCTGCCCCGCCCCTCCTGGGGACCTGATCTCAGGGCCCTGAGGGCGTGGTTTGACGTCTGACAGGGCAGATTCCATCTCTGATGACGACTTGGCAGGCCTCCAGCGAGAGGAGTGCAGCAGCTGGTGCTGCGGGAGGGGCAAGGGGAAGGCGGGGCAGGGCCTTCTTCCCACGGCCACCGAGTTGCCTGGAGGGCCTCATGAGGAAGGAGTTTCACTGCCCAGACAAGCAGTGTTGACCAGCCAGGCCCAGTACCTGATTCCAGCTCAGCAGCTGCCTCTCCTGCGGTGGGACCTCAGACAAATCACGTGCCCACTGTGACTCCTGCTCATGGGGCTTGCGAGGACTTGAACTGCGTGTGTGCGCAGGTGTGCACATAGGCATGTGTGATGTGTGTGTCCGTGCACGTGTGTGTGCAGCTGTGCAGCGCACCTGTGGGCAGGCAGGTGTGTATGCACACATGTGCACATAGGCATGTGTGATGTGTGTGTCCGTGCACGTGTGTGCAGCGCACCTGTGGGCAGGCAGGTGTGTGTGCACAGGCATGTGAGATGTGCACAGGCATGTGAGATGTGTGTCCGTGCACATGTGTGTGCAGCTGTGCAGCGCACCTGTGGGCAGGCAGGTGTGTATGCACGTGTGTGCACATAGGCATGTGTGATGTGTGTGTCCGTGCACGTGTGTGTGCAGCTGTGCAGCGCACCTGTGGGCAGGCAGGTGTGTATGCACGTGTGTGCACATAGGCATGTGTGATGTGTGTGTCCGTGCACGTGTGTGCAGCGCACCTGTGGGCAGGCAGGTGTGTTTGTACATATGTGCACATAGGCATGTATGATGTGTGTATCCGTGCATGTGTGTGTGCAGGTGCACAGCGCACCTGTGGGCAGGCAGGTGTGTGTGCACGCGTGTGCACATAGGCATGTGTGATGTGTGTTTCTATGCACATGTGTAAGCCACTGGGACCAGGTCCGGTAGGTCCCAGCCTGCAGGTGTGGCATGACTAGTAACTATTTTTATTGCCTTGCAGTGTGAGTTACCTTCTTAGAAACCACCGCAGCCACAAGAAAAACAAACAGCAGCCAGTCATTTAGAGACACAGGCTGGGTGCTGAGTGCAGCAGAGCCTTTCGGTGGCAAATGCAGAGCCTGTGGCTGGCAGGAGCTGGGAGGGCGTCGTCTCTAAGCCTGGAGCTGGCCAGGCGCTCCCGCTCCTGTGGTGGTGGCAGTCCAGGGCCACCAGGCACTCTGGCTGTCCCAGTTCCCGCCTCGGCCTGGTGGGCAGAGGGGAGGATTGGCAGTTTGCTCCTGCCATGTGGCATCTGGCTTGTGGGGGGCCCACACTGCTGGTCCTCAGGCTGTGGCTGGGACACACACACTGAATTTTCCTGAGGACCAAGTGTGGTCACACACAGGACCGCGCTGTAAACTTGTGCAGCTCCAAGTGAGTGCACAGGGCTGGCGGGCCCTCGATTCGTCAGCAGTCGGGGCTCAGTGCTGGCCCAGAGCCAGGGCGGCTCGTGGGTGTCTGGGAGGTTTTGGGTTGCTCAGAGGAGCCCCCGGGTCAGGCTTGGTGCCCCAACCCCTTCTGGAATTCTTTGGTCCATCCCAGAGCTCAACTCACGTTCTTCTCCCATCTTTTAGGCTTTCTGGAACCTTCCAGGGCCCTGTTACTCCCACCACTTCTTCTGAGGGCGTGCCCACCACGTGCTGACTCTGTACCCGTTTTACCTCATTTAGCCGTCGCTGCAGACGTGCATCGTAGCCGTATCGGCAACTCAGCGCTGCTGTGGCAAATCACCACACACCCAAACCAGCAGAGAGTCCCCCTCCCCGGCTCTGGTGCCAGAAGCCCAAGATCAAGGTGTGGGCAGGGCTGGCCCCCCGAGGCCATGAGAGGGGTCTGTCCCAGGCCGCTCCTGGCCTTGTGGCCTGAGGTCTTCGGTGCTCCCTGGCTGGTGGAAGTGCTGCTGCGGCCTCGGCCCCATGTCGTGTGGCCTGCTCTCGCTCTGTGTGTCTGGGTGGGTCAGGGCCCACCCGGCTGACCTCGCTTTAACCTCATTACCTCTGTGCAGACCCTGCCTCCAAATAAGGTCACGTTCACAGGTCCTGGGGTCAAATAAGGTCACACTCACAGATACTGGGGTCAACTAAGGTCATACTCACAGGTCCGGGGGTCAGGACCTCGACACATGGCTGTGGGGGACACAGTTCAGCCCAGGAGGGAAACTGAGGCACAGAATGGGGTGCACTTCCTGAGGCCCCATGGCTCACAAGGAGACAAGGAGGGGCTGCAGGCTGGGGTCCCAGATGCCCTCTCACACAGCAGCCACCATCCTAGCCAGTCCCAGCCCCTCCTGGGTCCCCCCGTCTTTACTCAGGGTGGCCCCATGTGCCCGGCCTGTCCTCAGGTCACCCTGACTCTAGCGTGGGATACCCCACCTCAGAGGGCACCTCCTCGGGGTTGGGTTACGGTTTTTTAAGTCTCGTGGAACGCCCCCCGACGGCGTGGGCCCGGCTCTTGAGGAGGTGGGCCGTGGTCTTGGCTGACGGTGCAACACCCACACACCTGACCCAGTTAGGACCTCTGATCTGGAATGGCTGCTGACTCAGTTTCCCTACATGGAAACCACCCCTCATGCCAGCCTTTTCTGTCCCCTGCTGCAGCCTCCCTGGTGGGTCTCGTGCACCCTGGGTGGCCTGGGTTCTTGGCCCCAAGGGAAAAGGGGGCTCCTGCTAGGGGCAGAGAGGGAGGGACAGGGCAGGGCCTGGAGCGAGATTTCAGGATTGTCTTCGGATGGCACGGCCTGGTCCTCAGCTTCTGATCATTTTCTTCATTTTCACGACTCCCTGCACTTCCTGGTTTTGGGTGAGGCCAAATAGCAGAAGTATTAAAATATTCCTCCTCGAGCGTCTCGTGGTGTTTCTGATCTGGGCCGAAACAGGAAGCTCTGTGAGATGTGTCACCGGAAGTCTCTGGGAGCCTGGGCTGCGATCCTGCCCAGCCCACCCTAGTGGAGAACGCATCCCGGGGACCGTGCTGGGTTTTGGGAAAACACTGGGTCACCCCCTCCCATTGAAAGACAACCTTGGGGAGCTGGGCTCCGTCTGCGTGACTTTGCTGGGGCCGCGTCGCACACACCACGGCCAGGCACTCCACAGCAGGTGCAGGTTCTCTCCAGTCCCCGGTCGAGGTTCAGCGTGGCGGTTACGAGGCCGCTTCTCAGCAGGCAGGCGGCGCCACCTCCCCGTGTCCTTGCGTGGCCATCCCTCCTGCGTGTCCGTGTCCTCCTCGTTTAAGGACACCGGCAGCTCGGGTCAGAGCCTACCCTGGTGACCTTGTTTCACCTTCGTCACCTCTATAAAGACAGGCAGATCCTGAAGTTGGGACTTCACCCTGTGAATTTGGGGGACGCAGTGCAGCCCATAACCTTATCGTGTGTGTGTGTGTGTGTGTGTGAATCTGTCTGAGGGCTGACGGCAAAGCCATTAGCTGTGTTGTGTAGACAGCGCCGTGGGCAGAACAGAGCTTGTTCTCGGGCAGAAGGACAGCGAGGAAGCTGAGCAAGGATGACATCCAGAGGCCTTTCAGGCCCTCACATGGTCCAGGATGCCCCCCAGGAAGGCTCTTGCTGTCCCCAAGCCCGGAGGTTTTCAGGGGTATATGTGAATGGTCACTGTTTTTCTTTTCCTTTTTTTTTGAGACCGAGTCTCACTCTGTTGCCCAGGCTGGAGTGCAGTGGCCGATCCCAGCTCATTGGAACCTCCACCTCCTGGGTTTATGTGATTCTTCTGCCTCAGCCTCCAAGTAGATGGGACTACAGGTGCCCACCACCCTGCCCGGTGAATTCTTTCATTTTTTTTGTTTTGTTTTGGTAGAGATGGAATTTCACGATGTTGGCCAGGCTGGTCTCTAACTCCTGACCTCGGCCTCCCAGAGTGCTGGGATCACAGGCGTGAGCCACCACACCAGCCTGTATTTCTTTGTTTTAATTGGTAGAATCTACAGGGAACACAAGGTTTACCACTTCAGCCACTTTAAAGAGCTCACTTGGTGTCCCCAAGAGCCCCGAGGTGCCACCACCGCCAGCGAACAGGCCTGGCCCCCGCCCCCCAGCCCAGGCCTGTCTGTCTCTAAGGCCCGCTGTGGCCGCACATGGACTCCGCACCCTGGAGAACCTGGGCTTGTCCTCAGAGGAAGAAGTAATGACAAAGAGCCCACCCAGTCTTGGATCTCAGCTCTGCACCAATGGCCGTGAGACCGGGGCCCATACCTCAGTTTCTTCATCTGTCAGCAAGCTCAGACCAGGGTAGTGAGGTAGTGTGGGGGCCATTGCATTCCTGGGTACAGCCCTGGGGGCCAGGAGACGCCGCCGTCCGCTCTGGGCCCAGGCGCTGCCAGCGGCAGGGCAGTCCCTGAGGGCCTTCCCGGGAGCACTCCAGACCCCCTTCCCCTCCGGGTCCCTGTGCGCCTCCACTCCTCAGCAGACGGCAGGCCAGCTGCCTTCCTGGGCTGGTTCTGCAGCGCCGACTGAGATGAGAGCTCCTGTGCAGATGACACGGAGGAGGGATGTGCAGTGTGCAGGTGAGGGGCCAGGTGAGAGGCGGGGCAGGGCCTCCCTTAACCCGCCCCCCATGGTCCTGGCACAGAGCTTCCAGTACCTGGGCTCCAGGCAGAGTGTATCTAGCAGCCCAGAGGCCCAGGTGGGCTGTACTGTTGGCTGCTAGGAGCCAGACCCCTGGCTGGGCAGGCAGGGGACAGGGAGGGGAGAACATGAGGGGACCCTCCCAGCAGCCTCTGCATGCGGGCAGCCGGCCTGCCACCCTGGGGAAGCGGGAGGGGCTGCCTTGCCAAGGGATCCTCACAGATGAGGTGTGGGCGACAGAGACCCCCAGCGGCTGCTGGAGGCGCCCACAGGACTCCCTGGAGCCTCTCTGTGGTCCTGGGTCCCCTTGCCCACCCGGCGGTTCCTGCAGGAGGGGCCAGCACAGGGCAGGTGCCCAAAGAGCAGGTGCAGCCCAGACAGCAGGGGAGGAAGTCCGTCTCCTCAGGGGGGTTTCCAGACAGGGACCGTTTTTATTGAGGACACGGAATGTCTCCGAAAGGTCGGTTCTTTATCACATGAGTCACCAGAGAGGGGGACAGAGAGAGGAACGCTGCAGCCTCCAGTTCCCCTTCAGTTGGTGGAGGGTGGGAGCCAGGCTCCCTGAGAGGGCAGCAGTGGAGGCTACACGTCCCTGTCCTGCCCCTGCACCTGTCCTGCCCCTCTCCCTGCCCTGCCCCACATCCCTGCCCTGTCCCTGTCCCGCCCCGCATCCCTGCCCTGCCTCTGTGCCTGTCCTGCCCCGTGTCCTGTCCCTGTCCCTGCCCCTGTCCTGCCCCGCATCCCTGCCCCATCCCTGCCCCTGCCCCTGCCCTGTCCCGCATCCCTGCCCCTGCCCCTGCCCTGTCCCACATCCCTGCCCTGCCCCGTGTCCTGTCCCTGCCCCTGCCCCTGCCCTGCCCCACATCCCTGCCCTGCCCCTCTCTCTGTCCTGCCCCACGTCCCTGCATGTGTCCTGGGCCTCAGCACCAGGTTCTGGGCCCGCTTCCTTGCAGCCCCTTCCCCAGAGCCCACCAAAGACCCAAATCCTCACACTCTCGGGACAGATGGCTGTGGGTGGCTGAGAGAGACCCGGCCCCTCCCTGGCCAAGTCCACAACGTCAGGACCCTCGCTGCCCTCCTGCTTCGGGCTCAGCCCCGATGCACCTGATTTGAAGTGAAACTGTCCAGTGCCCTCTCTGGGGCCCTCCCAGGGGATGCAGGTTGGAGGGGCTGCCCTGGAAAGCCCTTCCTTGCCCTAGAGAGGTCCCCGCCCTGAGAGGGAAGGGCCCGGGCAATGGTTCCAGGCTGGGAGCAGGAAGGTGTGTGCCAAGCGCTCCTCGGAGCTGGTGCCCTGCGGTGTAACGTGCAGCTGCTGCTGGAGAAGAGACGCAGGCAGATTACCGAACCCTGAGACATGAAAAAGCATGATCGCGGTCTTGCCAGCCTAGGCGGCCGCGGTCCATACATACAAGTCTGAGGGCGGAGGAGCCCGCTGCTCGCTTCTCATGGGCCCACCCCTGTGATCCAGCATCTGTGAAACTCCCCGGGAGGCCACGGCCTGCCCTGTCCTAGCCCCGGGACTGCCGAGGGCTGCGTGATGCTTTCTCCAGTGGCATTTACAGAAAACTTCCCTCCGCCCCACCATGTTAGTTGGCTTCGGGATAGTTTGCAGTATTTCCTGATTAAAATAATGTTGAGAAGAACATTTTGGCCTCTGAGGCCTTTTCCCTCGGGTATTTTCTGAGAAATGACATGGATTCAAGGGCTGGGAACATTTTGTAGCCATGTTGCATTAGAGAAAGGCATGTGGGTTCCCACGTGTGGGCTGCCCTTCTGTGGGATTCTTCAGACTGGACACGCGGCTGGGGGGGCTGGACACGCGGCGGGGAGCTGGACACACGGTGGTGGGGCTGGACACGTGGCGACGGGCTGGACACTCAGGGGGCCTGGATACATGTGGCGGGTCTGGGCAGGCAGGGGGCCTGTGTGTCAGGTGCCTATGGCATATGGTATGAGCCCTGCTTTGCTTTTTTTCTTTTTTTTTTTTTTTGAGACAGAGTTTTGCTCTCGCTGCCCAGACTGGAGTGCAATGATGCGATCTTGGCTCACTGCAACCTCCGCCTCCTGGGTTCAAGCGATTCTCCTGCCTCAGCCTCCCAAATAGCTGGGATTACAGGTGCCTGCTCCCACACCCAGCTAATTTTTGTATTTTTAGTATAGACGAGGTTTCACCATGTTGGCCAGGCTGGTCTTGAACTCCTAACCTCAAGAGATCCACCTGTCTCGGCCTCCCAAAGTGCTGGGATTACAGGTGTGAGCCACCACGCCCGGCTGAGCCCCACTTTTCTGGATCTTGGGCTGGGGGAGAAAAAGGAAGCCGTTTTCTCCACTCCCAGGGCCCAGGGACAGGGAAGTGGCCTGGACCCCTGGGGAGGGAGGGACAGGGAGGTGGCCTGGACCCCTGGGGAGGGAGGGACAGGGAGGTGGCCTGGCCCCTGGGGAGGGCAGCACGTTGGTTGTAGGGTTGGTCCGGAGAGCCAGAGGCGGAAAGGATCTCCAGGGGGAGCTGGTGGGCCCTTCCCCGCGGGGCTCTGCTCAGCCTGTGGTGGCCACACGGCAGGGGCCCTACTCCCAGACCCTCAACCACTGCCAGCCCAGCCAGCCTGCTTCTGACGATGTCCGGTTCTCTCGGGTTTCCTTGATCAGGCTTCTTCAATGCCTAAAGCTTTGGGACACTTCATGGTGGCTCTCTGGGGTCCAGGTGGCCGCTGTCCACCCTGGCTCCCTGTGTTGCCCCCTCCTGAGGCCCTGGCTCCTGGATGCTTCAGCCTACGTGTGCCTCCTCGCTCTATTTTCGTGGGCACTACCCCTTCGCAGGGCCCACCTCCTGGCTTCCGCCCCTGCCCGCTCTTTGAGCAGGGGTGGATCTCCCCAGCACCGGCCCACACGGCTGTGCTTGCAGCCAAATGGTATGGGCGTGGCAGAGACTCCTGGAGCCTCTTCTCGAGGGGGCCTCAACCTCGGGCTTCCACGTGCAACCCCGCCGAGTCCAACGGAGCTTCCATGTTCAACCCCACCAAGTCCAGCGGAGCATGAACCCCACCCCGATGTCTGAGCACCAGGAGCTGATCAGACCTCAGTCCTCGGTGCCCTCAACAGAACATCCTGGCCCCGCCGCACCCTCCTGGCGATTTTCCAGCCACGGACCCCGTCGCTCCTCAGCTGTGAACCCTCCTTGTCCTGCTGCACCCAACACAGAGCCCGTCTCTCCCCCACTGCAGGAGTCCGGAATGAAGTTTTCCTTTCCATTGTAATAAGCACCACT